TGGACGAATGTTGAGTCATATTTGCTCAATTTTGCTTTTCAATATTTGCTCTTCAAGCATAATTTAAAGCTCCCCTTTAGTGATGTTGCTAGATCAGGATTTTTTATTTTAATTAGTGTTGCGAAAAATTTCCAACGCGAGAGTAACTATGACGATGCACTTACTAGTATTCGGTGGGAATCCTTTTGGTTTTTAAACTCAATGTTTTATTTAATTAATCAAATTAGTTACAAGGATTCCGCGGCATAAGACCGTGAACACCATCTCTGGGAGATATACCCATGCATTACTAGGCCTTTCAAGGCGCAGTTTAGAATGTGGCGCACATCCATATGTTCCATTTAATAAACTGCAGTCCTTTTGCCTATACTAGGGGCGTCCGTCAATCTGACACGTTGGATGCAACGTGTTGGACGGGCGGGTAGCGCTCTTAGCGAAGGGGTGCACCCTGTTCTAGGCGGGGTGGGTGGTATGTAGCGTCGGGCGTAAGTCCAGGGGGCCCGAAAACCTCCGTTGCCAGCTGATATTAGAAGTGCACCATTTTTGCGTCATAGTTGCTCTATTTTGCTTTTCAGTATTTGCTCTTCAAGCATTGTAGAAAGCTCTTCTTTCGTACTTCAAATTCATTCTGTCATGTTCACAGTTCTCGATCCTAAACACTCATCAGTCACACTTCAGCCTCACGAACTCTATCACATAATCATTTATCCACCCGCATACCCTTGTGTAGTGAAATAATACTACGTTAGGATTTTCTAGTTTAAGTAGTGTTGCGAAAAATTTTCAACGCGAGAGTAAATATTACCCCGTTAAGATTTTCAAGTGTAGTGTTGCGATAAATTTTCAACTCGAGAGTAAATATTACCCCGTTAAGATTTTTAAGTTTAAGTAGTGTTGCGAAAAATTTTCAACGCGAGAGTAAATATTACCCCGTTAGAATTTTCAAGTTTAAGTAGTGTTGCGAAAAATTTCCGGCGCGAGAGTTAATATGACTATACACTGACTAGTATTCGGTGGGAATCCTTTTGGTTTTTATTTGATAAAATTAGTTACAAGGATTCCGCGGCATAAGACCGTGAACACCACCTCATGGGAGATAAAACCATGCATTACTAGGCCTTTTCAGGCACAGCCATAGAGTACGGAACATTTAAGTATGTTGCAACCCATACGCTAAGCTGTCTTAAAGTCCTTTTGCCTATACTATTAGCGTCCACCACTCGGACACGTTGGATGCAACGTGTTCGATGGGTGGGTAGCGCTCTTAGCGAAGGGGTGCACCCTGCCTGGGCCTAGAGCCTTAACAGGCGGGGTGGGTGGTATGTAGCGTCGGGCGCAAGTCCAGGGGGCCTAAGAACCTCCGTTGCCAGCTGATATTAGCAGTGGACGAATGTTTGGGTCATATTTGCTCAATTTTGCTTTTCAATATTTGCTCTTCAAGCATAATTTAAAGCTCCCCTTTAGTGATGTTGCTAGATCAGGATTTTCTATTTTAATTAGTGTTGCGAAAAATTTCCAGCGCGAGAGTAACAATGACGATGCACTTACTAGTATTTGGTGGGAATCCTTTTGGTTTTGAAACTCAATGTTTTATTTAGTTAATCAAATTAGTTACAAGGATTCCGCGGCATAAGACCGTGAACACCATCTCATGGGAGATAAAACCATGCATTACTAGGCCTTACAAGGCGCAGTTTAGAATGTGGCGCACATCCATATGTTCCATTTAATAAACTGCAGTCCTTTTGCCTATACTAGGGGTGTCCGTCAATCTGACACGTTGGATGCAACGTGTTGGACGGGCGGGTAGCGCTCTTAGCGAAGGGGTGCATCCTTTCCTAGGCGGGGTGGGTGGTGTGTAGCGTCGGGCGTAAGCCCAGGGGGCCTAAGAACCTCCGTTGCCAGCTGATATTAGAAGTGCACCGTTTGTACGTCATAGTTGCTCTATTTTGCTTTTCAGTATTTGCTCTTCAAGCATTGTAGAAAGCTCTTCGTTCGTATTTCAAATTCATTCTGTCACGTTCACGGTTCTCGACCCTAAACACTCATCATTCACACTTCAGCATCACGAACTCTATCACATAATCATTTATCCACCCGCATACCCCAGTATAGTGAAATATTAGCCCGTTAGATGTTTATGTACTAGTCATGTTTTTAGATCAGGATTTTCTATTTTAATTAGTGTTGCGAAAAATTTCCAACGCGAGAGTAAATATGACAATGCACTGACTAGTATTTGGTGGGAATCCTTTTGGTTTTTAAACTCAATCCAATATTTTATTTATTTAATCAAATTAGTTACAAGGATTCCGCGGCATAAGACCGTGAAACACCATCTCATGGGAGATAAACCCATGCATTACTAGGCCTTTGCAGGCGCAGCTTTAGAATACGGAACATATGAAAATATGTTACCATATTCTAAACTGTAGTCCTTTTGTCTATACTAGGGGCGTCCGTCAATCTGACACGTTGGATGCAACGTGTTGGACGGGCGGGTAGCGCTCTTAGCGAAGGGGTGCATCCTGTCCTGGCGTTACGACGTCCAGGCGGGGTGGGTGGTATGTAGCGTCGGGCGCAAGTCCAGGGGGCCTAAGAACCTCCGTTGCCAACTGATATTAGCAGTGCACCATGTTTTATGTCATAGTTGCTCAATTTTGCTTTTCTGTATTTGCTCTTCAAGCTTTATATTTGCAAAGTCGAGTCACTTTTATTAAAAATAAAACCCCCTGGGGGGGCCAGCCCATATACTAAATCGGAGCCGTGAAATTTCGCCGATATTCTTACTTTTAATAAAGTGAGAATATCATATTTAGTTTTTGCTAATCATACGTTTTAGCTTAGGCATTTCAGCACACATGAAGAAAACTGGTAGGTGAAAATACCTTTGGCCTTGTTCATTTTTATGCCCAAAGCTCATTCGGGTACTTAGATGTACTCGCGTGGGTGGAGGGCGGTGGACAAGGTTTAGTTTTAAGTTACATTTTGGCGACTGACAAAAGTAGTGAACCAATAGTGAACCACGATATAAGTTCCACATGTGTGTGTGTGGTTAGGATGTGGGATTTGTATCGTTTATTAACAATCTTAACTTACTATAACATTACAAAATACTTATCAAGAATAAATTGAAAAATTTTTACATTAGATAATTCAATAGAATACGAAAATGAAATGTATTACTTTAGCATAATGTTCACTATTATTTGTCAGTCGATTTCAGCAAAAAGGTATGATTTTATTAGAGTGTGAAAGTTGAATTGAACTCGGGTGTCGGAGGCGTCCCGGGACGTTCTCCCTAGGTGTAGGCATTTTTGCACCCGGGTGGTTGTATGAGAACCGTGGAGTGAATTTTTGTGAGAATGATTTTTGCCCTTTTTTAAATATAGCGATAGGCAGGCAGGTAGTTTACTTCTGGTGTGATTGAGTTTAGTTTATAAGTAGGCAGGGCCAGAGCAAGCTTTCATGTTTCTCTTCGTATTCTCCTCTAATACGTGAGAAGCTTGTATCTGGGGTTGGAAATTAAAAAATCGAGAGGAAAAATGAAAATGCAAATTAATTAGTTGATTAATTAATTAATTTAGCATTCTCTCTTGATTTTTTCAAGGCCAAGCCTTATTAGTTTGTAAGTCGTAGTCGTGGTACTAGACCCGATTACAAAAATGAAGTATTAAAGTGAAAGTGCAGTGAAGTGAAGTGAAGTGAAGTGAAATTAAAAGTGTTTTGTGCTTGGACATTTGCAAAAATTGTGCAGGTATGCGAGTAGCGATTCAAGGGATCGTTGCTCGTTTACGTGTTACGTTTTTACAAATGTCTGAGCAAACGTAAAATTTTCGCGAGTGATTTTTGTGAGGCTATTGCCGAAGAAAGAAGAGGCTATATGCTGAAGAGCCCCGGCAAAATTTGCCCAGAAGAGGGGAACTACTAATGGCTCTCCATCTTCGGATGGACAGTCATTCTGTCACTATGCTCGCTAATTTGTTTTTTCATTTTTTGTGTTTTTCCTTGAACGGTATGAATAATACCGTCCAGGACGTATTGAACTCGACATTTTACGAGTTCAATACCCAGCTCGTTGAATGGTCAACTCGCGATTTTATTTCCCCTATTTATTTTTCATTTATTACTTTATTGAAATAAATTATTCTTTTCTTATTGATTTGCACATCGATTATATTTCATGTTCTTATTTTGAATAGGTTCAGTGTATTGTAATGGTAATTATATTTTCTGTTCTCGGTATTTTTCATTTCAATTGTAATTGAAATTATGATGTTAATTATATTTTCTATTTCAGCATTTTATTGTTGAATTATTTTTTAATTGTTACTGAAATTATGATGTTAATTATATTTTCTATTTCAGCATTTTATTGTTGAATTGTTATTTTGTTAATTGTTACTGAAATTATGATGTTAATTATATTTTCTATTTCAGCATTTTATTGTTGAATTATTATTTTGTTAATTGTTACTGAAATTATGATGTTAATTATATTTTCTATTTCAGCATTTTATGGTTGAATTGTTATTTTGTTAATTGTTACTGAAATTATGATGTTAATTATATTTTCTATTTCAGCATTTTATTGTTGAAAGTTTTATGTTGTTTGTTTTGGGGGGTTTTATGATTTTAGGGAGGTTACTATTTTATTTCAGGAAATTATTCTCTTCTTATTGATTTTATATGTAATTCATATCTGATGGTCTCACATCATATATTCGTATTCTGGTGTCTTTAATTAAATGGTTCTGAGGTTGCAATGTTAATTGCTTTCTGTTTTCGTATTCTACCCTTTCAATTGTTACTGAGACTATAATATTAATAATCATCTTTTCTATTACAGCATTTTGTTGTTCAATTGTTATTTTCTCATTTATTGCTGATATTATGATGTTAATTATATTTTCTATTTCAACATTTTATCGTATAAATTGATATTTAATGTTGTCTCTTTTTGAGAATTTTATTGTTTTAGGTGGGTCACGATCGTAGCCACCTCCACGTGGTGTGACCCGGTAATCGATATCGTTTTCTAAACATTTATCAGACGATAATTTTTAGAAAACGATATCGAGCTGAGAGCTACGATTCGGTTAATATAAAGTAGTAAAATCAATTTTTCGAGCGAACAAGCTATTTTTTTTATTCTGATTCTTTTCTTCGGAAGGATCTATCCTTTAGTCTTATATTTTGCTATTTGTTCATAAATCTCTCTTTTTAGGTCTTATATTTCCCTATTTCCGGTCAAATCCATCACTTTCCCGAACAAGTGAGTTTCACGATTTGTTCGTTTTTAGGTCTTATATTTTGCTATTTGCTTCGGGGTCCCAGATACCCCAAGACTATGCGTTTCTGAAGGAGTCCAGCTCGATAGAATACATCACCGAAAGATATTACAACGTGACACAAATTGGAGGACTTCTGGTTGCAAAGGGTTATGGGATTACAATGAAAAAAGATAAGCTTTCTTTTAGGTAAAATTCAATTTATTCAAATCAATTCTGATCAACATAAATAATTACAGATTCACCATATCGTCATGCACTGAACACTGCCGCATTAAAATTGCAACGAAGTGGTTTAATTACCGAGTTAAAGATTAAATGGTGGACGCAGAAACGCGGGGGTGGAAAATATCGAGTATGTATTCGTAGAAATTGGAAGAAAAATTATACCATGAATTCAAAACTCAATTTTTTATAAAATTAACGTTATAATTTATAGGAAGAAAGCGGTCAAAGTATGGCAGAGGAGCTGGATCTTGACAACGTGGGTGGTGTTTTTCTATTATTAACTGTTGGTGTTGCTGTCTCCTTTTTCTACACCATATTCGAACTTCTGTGGGAGATTGGTTGCACATCTGTACGCGAAAATGTAAGAATAATTAAATAATTTCAATCACATCTTGAAATACAATGTCTTAGAACTACTTTAAGTCTTAAACCTTAGATCTTACCTTAAATGCTAAAATCCATAGGAAGATCCATTTTAAGTATGTCGTATTCACTTCAGATTTCCTTCAAAGAACTTATGACTGAAATTAAATTCATCGTAAAATGTGGTAGTACATCAAAACCAGTAAGAAGGAGAAAAAGTTCTTCCAACAGAAGTGGAGAAGGCAGTACTCGAGGTTGCACTCCTCCTTATGGTTTTATTCCAGCGATCAGGATATCCAATTCTGAGAATAAATAAACTTATGTATAATGGAATATTTTATTAAACTACAAATACATGTAATTAAATACAATTTGATTAAATTTATAAATGTAGTGTCAAATATTGTTCTTCTCTTTATTTCTATGGCCACAAACAACATATCAGCAGCGCAGATTAAATGTGACAACTGAAATGTGAAATATGAAGGGCATGAAGTCTAAGATGAAGTGTGAGATGTGAATTATGATATATAAAAGCGTGAAGCATAAAGTTGGATGTAGCCTATCACGACACGATTATGAAGTCATGCTATGCATTAAATTTACAAGTCACACAAGACATTTTACATTAAGGTTCCATTAGTGGAAATTGCTTATATATTAGTGTAAACTTTTTCCATTCAAAGGTACAATGATAAAATGACATTAAATAATAGTGAATTCAATATTTCTTATATATCAAAAAGAAATATGATAGGTTAATATTATTATTGGCCAACACATTTAATCTGTGATGTTTTCAAAAAGGCTTTGATAAAATATATTATAGCATTTACAAAACAAGGAGTAAATTATATACATTAAATAAAATCATAACCAATAATATCGTATAATAAACATGAAACATGAACCAGCAATTAATTGTAAATATAAAATAACAGAAAATATAAATCGATCGTTAAATCAGTTAAATAAAATATATTATTTGCACTAAATTTATCATTGGATCAGATCCAAAAAGGAACAGTGAGTGTTAAGACACGTAAAACTTACCGATTTTTCAAATTAAACTATAAAAAGGACGTTCATAAAAGGAATTTCATGATTGTATTCTGGTTTATCCGGTTTACCTTATCTGCATCGTCAGTTTCCTCCAATCAACAAGGGAAAAAATGAGAAAAATGTTATCTATTTAGAGGGTTAAAATATATTACATCTGTATACGTTGTAAGTGAAACACCCTCCCTTCTTCGATTTCGCCGTGGATCTAATATGTCGCTAGATTCGGTCAAACCCATCACTATTCCGAACAAGTAAGTTTCGCGATTTGTTCGTTTTTCGTTCTTATATTTCGCTAGATCCGCTCAAACCCGTCACTATTCCGAACAATTAAGTTTCACGATTTGTTCGTTTTTCGTTCTTATATTTCGCTAGATTCGGTCAAACACATCACTATTCCGAACAAGTGAGTTTCACGATTTGTTCGTTTTCCGTTCTTATATTTCGCTAGATTCGGTCAAACCCATCACTATTCCGAACAAGTAAGTTACACGATTTGTTTGTTTTTCGTTCTTATATTTCGCTAGATCCGCTCAAACCCATCACTATTCCGAACAAGTGAGTTTCACGATTTGTTCGTTTTTAGGTCTTATATTTCGCTACTTACTTGGGGTCCCTGATACCCCAGATACCATAATGTCGATAGCGGAATCATCGGAACTTCGGGGTCCTTAGAACCCCGCGACAATATAATTTAGATATGCAGAATAGTCGGTGCCTGGGGTCTTTAGAACCCCGCGACAATGTATAATTCAGGTATACAGAATCGTCGGTGCTTGGGGTCCTTAGAACCCCGGATGGTATAATATAGGTATGCAGATATACTGGCTGGTGTTTGGGGTTCCTTAAGACCCCATTATGATATCAGGGCGGTACGTAAAGATAATGACTGGTGCTTCGGGGTCCTTAGAACCCCGGATGGTATAATATAGGTATGCAGATATACTGGCTGGTGTTTGGGGTTCCTTAAGACCCCATTATGATATCAGGGCGGTACGTAAAGATAATGACTGGTGCTTCGGGGTCCTTAGAACCCCGGATGGTATAATATATTTATGCAGAGATACTGGCTGGTGTTTCGGGTTCCTTAAGACCCCAATATGATATCAGGGCGGTACGTAGAGATAGTGACTGGTGCTTCGGGGTCCTTAGAACCCCGGATGGTATAATATAGGTATGCAGAGATACGGGCTGGTGTTTCGGGTTCCTTAAGACCCCAATATGATATCAGGGCGGTACGTAGAGATAGTGACTGGTGCTTCGGGGTCCTTAGAACCCCGGATGGTATAATATATGTATGCAGAGATACGGGCTGGAGTTTCGGGTTCCTTAAGACCCCAATATGATATCAAGGCGGTACGTAGAGATAGTGACTGGTGCTTCGGGGTCCTTAGAACCCCGGATGGTATAATATATGTATGCAGAGATACCGGCTGGTGTTTCGGGTTCCTTAAGACCCCAATATGATATCAGGGCGGTACGTAGAGATAGCGACTGGTGCTTCGGGGTCCTTAGAACCCCAGATGGTATAATATAGGTATGCAGAGATACGGGCTGGAGTTTCGGGTTCCTTAAGACCCCAATATGATATCAAGGCGGTACGTAGAGATAGTGACTGGTGCTTCGGGGTCCTTAGAACCCCGGATGGTATAATATATGTATGCAGAGATACCGGCTGGTGTTTCGGGTTCCTTAAGACCCCAATATGATATCCGGGCCGTACGTAGAGATAGTGACTGGTGCTTCGGGGTCCTTAGAACCCCGGATGGTATAATATATGTATGCAGAGATACCGGCTGGTGTTTCGGGTTCCTTAAGACCCCAATATGATATTAGGGCGGTACGTAGAGATAGTGACTGGTGCATCGGGGTCCTTAGAACCCCGGATGGTATAATATATGTATGCAGAGATACCGGCTGGTGTTTCGGGTTCCTTAAGACCCCAATATGATATCAGGGCGGTACGTAGAGATAGCGACTGGTGCTTCGGGGTCCTTAGAACCCCAGATGGTATAATATAGGTATGCAGAGATACTGGCTGGTGTTTCGGGTTCCTTAAGACCCCAATATGATATCAGGGCGGTACGTAGAGATGGTGACTGGTGCTTCGGGGTCGTTAGCACCCCGGATGGTATAATATGGGTATGCAGAGATACTCACCGGTGTTTCGGGGTCCTTCAGACCCCAATATGATATCAGGGCGGTACGCAAAGGGCGTTATTGGCGCAGCGGGTTCCCCTACACCCCAGGATGAAATCAGGTCCGTATGAAGAGGGCACAACCAGTATAATAATTGTCCTTTAATATTTTCCAGAATTAATTTAATTTATTTCTTTTATTTTTTTTTTTGCTTATTAAATAAGCTCGTCGAAGGGGAATAACATTTATAATTATATCCCACTTCTACGTCTTAACTGAGAACCCCATTTATTTTATTTTTTCTAGTTACTTATATAATTTTACCCCCCATTATAGGCCAAGCCTCTTTGCATCCCTTACATCCCTGCATTCCTTCCATCCCTGCATGCCTTAGATTCCAGCAGACGCTTAAACCCCACCATTTTTTTTTTTTTTTTTTTTTAACGTGGTGGAAATCTTCAGAAAGACACCTTCAGCCCCCCTGGGGAGGGGCCGGAGGTAGTGTGGGATTTTTACCCACTAAAACCACCACGGTGGCCTGCACTGGGGCTGTACGGAGGGTCCTTTGACCCTCCACCATGTGCCAAACTCCGCCGACATCGGGGGCCACACCCGATGCCGACACTCCTGGGGCCGCGTGTAGTGGAGACCAGGGCCCCAGCCCAGGACCCCTACGGCATCCTTTACATCCCTCGCTTAGTTAGATCTCTGCACCCCTTACATCCCTGCATTCTTTCCATCTCTATACTTTTTTCATTCCTACATTCATTTCATCCCTACATTCTTTTAATCTCTACATTCATTTCATCCCTACATTCATTTCATCCCTACATTCATTTCATCCCTACATTCCTTTCAATCCTACATTATTTTCATCCCTACATTACTTTCACCCCTACATTACTTACATCCCTTCATCCCTTACATCCCTACATTCTTTTCATCCCTACATTCTTTTCATCCCTATATTCTTTTCATCCCTACATTCTCTTCATCCTTACATTCTTTTCATCCCTTCATCGCTTCATCCCTTACATCTCTTCATCCCTTCATCCCTTACATCTTTTCATCCCTTACATCCCCACATCCTCTTCATCCCTTATAATAAATATATTATAAAGAGTGCTTGGAGTAAAGGTAAGTTGATTATTCGTCAAAAATTTTGCAAAATTTAGTTCCTTTTTCCAAAACCAGATGGCGCTGATCCGACATCGAAATTTTAGTTCACATTTTTGCCGCTAGAGGGCCAAAAATTGAGTTTGATTTAGTTCCTTTTTCCAAAACCAGATGGCGCTGATTCGACATCGAAATTTTAGTTCACATTTTTGCCGCTAGAGGGCCAAAAATTGAGTTTGATTTAGTTCCTTTTTCCAAAACCAGATGGCGCTGATTCGACATCGAAATTTTAGTTCACATTTTTGCCGCTAGGGGGCGCTATTTTTCGAGAATTTCGCGAGAATCTCGAAAAAATAGCGCCCCCTAGCGGCAAAAATGTGAACTAAAATTTCGATGTCGAATCAGCGCCATCTGGTTTTGGAAAAAGGAACTAAATCAAACTCAATTTTTGGCCCTCTAGCGGCAAAAATGTGAACTAAAATTTCGATGTCGAATCAGCGCCCTCTGGCGGCGAAAAAAGGAACTAAATTTTGCAAAATTTTGCATAAAAATGTTGCAAATGTGTGAAGAATGCAGGGATGTAGAGATGTAGGGAATGTAGGAATGGAAAGAATGTAGGGATGAAAAGAATGTAGGGATGGAAAGAATGTAGGGATGGAAAGAATGTAGGGATGAAATGAATGTAGGGATGGAAAGAATGTAGGGATGGAAAGAATGTAGGGATGAAAAGAATGTAGGGATGAAAAGAATGTAGGGAGGAAATGAATGTAGGGATGGCAAGAATATAGGGATGAAAGGAATGTAGAGATGAAAAGAATGTCGGGATGAAATGAGTGTAGGGATGAGATGAATGTAGGGCTGAAATGAATGTAGGGATGAAATGAATGTAGGAATGGAAAGAATGTAGGGATGAAAAGAATTTAGGGATGAAATGAATGGAGGGATGAAATGAATGGAGGGATGAAATGAATGTAGGGATGGTAAGGATATAGGGATGAAAGGAATGTAGAGATGAAAAGAATGTCGGGATGAAATGAATGTAGGGATGAAAGGAATGTAGAGATGAAAAGAATGTAGGGATGAAATGAATGTAGGAATGAAATGAATGTTGGGCTGAAATGAATGTAGGGATGAAAAGAATGTAGGGATGAAATGAATGTAGGGATGAAAGGAATGTAGAGATGAAAAGAATGTATGGATGAAAAGAGTGTAGAGATGAAAAGAATGTATGGATGAAGAGAATGGAGGTATGTAAGGGACGCAGAGATGTAAGGTATGTAGGGATATAAGGGATGAAGAGGTGAAAGGAATGTAGGGATGAAAAGAATGTTGTCGCTATAAGACCCATCGACGGTCGCTATAAGACTGAGGGGATTCCACTTCGCTCTTGGTCGAACGGTTGATATCGGTGCCACATTTTGCAACAATGTTTACTTATCTTTACCTGAATCAGTGGCCGTAAATATTTTTTTTTTTCTTTTTTAACGTGGGGAAATCTTGCTTAAGACACTCCACCGACCCCTGCGGGAGACCGGCGGGTGAGTGTCAGGTTCCTACTGACTAAAACAACACGACGACCGACAGTGGTGCTAAATGAGGGTTCTGGAACCTTATGTATATTACTCCGGAACCCTCGACACCTGCTACATTGGTTGCCATCTAGGGTGCCGGGTCGCACCCGGTATCGGCTTATCGGGCCGCTTGCAGAAGCGATCGGAGCCCCCACTCCTGATGCTAGCAACCCTGACGGCCCCACCGTGTTTGGTGGTGAAGCCGTGATATTTAATGTTAAAAAGAATTGGATCAACCTCCCCTTGCTGCTTCTCTTATTGTTGTAATATGGCAAAGATGCGCTCGAGAGACTAACTGAATGATGGGATATAGTCTTTGATATCGAAGTAATCTGCTATTTCCATCGTATAGATCTTGTCACTGAAATGCAGTAGACTCTCGTTATATTGCCTCTGCAAGCAACTTTCTAGCCACATAGAAACCACCACCTAACCAGGTTAAAAATCTGATTAACTCTGATATACGGGAACCCACAACCGATTATTAATGTTTTATCATTAAAATATAGTAGACTGTCGTTATATTGTTCCTCTAGCCCTCTTTGTTAAGTACTTTGTACAGTTTATAGAATTTAACTGTCTATTATATCATAAAAATTTGACCAATAAAATGTTTAGAAAATATTTTGCAAGAAATTGTTTTCTTAAGATTGAATAAAATTAATTCTTGAGTATCAATTTGAAGAAAATTTCTAATTTCCTTGGTGCAATCAACAATCAAGCACGCCTACGCTTGGCTTAAACACACGCTGCAAGCAAATTGTCACAGGGTGTTGCGAGTAAATTACACGGCATCGTAGTCTGCATCAATCTAAAGCTTGATAAAGCCTTTCAGAGCCAATGAAACATTGTTGGGCCAAAGAAAGTCCTCCTATCGATTAAATGATATTTTAGAAGAATATCCATATCATTTTACACTGTTGAATTAAATTATTTATGTGTTACCAGATTATAGAAATGTAAAAGAAAATTTTCAAATACTACAAATTAAATACATTCATACGTTTTAAAACCTAACTCAGAAAATTTCTTTATTCAGCCTTCTGTCTAACATTAATCAATCAAAAGTTATTTTACTTGGCAGCTTCTAGTGGCTTATCCCGTATAAAAAACGCGAGGGTTGCTATTGAAAGAGTTGGTAGATTAATATTTTCTAAAATCTCGAGCCACCGAGATTTCGGTCGCTATTGAGTTTTTTATGCCGTATGAAAAAGCTTTTGTGCCTGTCTCTCGCATTGGTAATTTGTTGGAGCTCGTTTCCAGCGGACGTGAAAGACACTTTGGAAAGTTCACGTAGAAAAGGAAAGCTATTGAATACACGGCCTGCAATCTCACCCCTCAAACTGAGTAACTTACATTTATTTTATATTGTTGTAAGTTCTTGTATTTCATTGAAAATTATTCGAAATTCCCGCTAGTACTTTACCTCCGAAATCGTATGGTAAATCATCTTCATTTTTTGCAACAGCTCATACTATGTCCTTTTATAAATTTTATCGAAACTCTGTGCAAAAGATTTTTCTCCAATTCTAACTATTTAGCATACAATCGCAATACTAGCAATTAATATTTTGCAGACGAGACAAGTGAAACAGCTTCCTTTTTGCGCGAAACTTAACGACACGAAAATTTATGAGCAAACTGTTGCTTTTGTTGCGCGGCGGCCGGTGGTCGCGGTTTTCCAAACCAAATTCAAAGTGTAATCGCCGCGAAAACGAACGAATCGTATCAGAAAAAAGGAGATAGAGAATGGCTGACGAGATTCGTGGATTGATTTATGCTCGAAACGGGTGGACCACGATCTTCGTGAAATATTGCTCCTTCATGCGAGATAAAACGCTTTAGGAGATTCTCAGTTGTTATGAATGCCGGGGAAGGTAATGATGGATGTCTGTTCGCACGATCAGAGAGTAATGTAAAAATATTTCCTGCGAAGGGAGTTTGAAGCTTGTGTAAAAGAGAATGAATCTTTAAATTTGTATTGTAAATAATTGTTACAATAAAAGATAATTAGGTTTTAATTGTACAACACCGAGCATTGTAGGTTTCCCTAGGGAAAATAAGCCCTACGTACGTATAAATAATGCCTGTGAGCAAGACACATTCCAAACAGGGGAATACATAGCAGGAAATTAGTGAGCGCTTTTAGTATTAATATCGATACATCTTACGATTTTCCAGCTATGCATAAACAGCCTCGTTCAGCTGAGAGAAGAAGCAAGCACCGAAAAAATTGGCTTAATTACGGGCAGCAATTAAAGGATGATAATGGTGAGGAGGCCGCAAGCTCGGCGCGGAGCGCGAACGCGAGGAAAAAGGGACCAAGGCAGGAGCGTAAACAAGGGGTGTGCAACGTGGGGGTGGTATGGACGAAGGGGCGAAGAGGAAAGACACGCTCATGCGCGCCTAGAACCCCGCCCTGTCGCTTCGGACGAAAGCTTGTCCCGTCGAGGACTCTCGGTCGAGGTTCGGCGAGTAGTCACGCTTTAACTCGCGATCCGCGAGGCGGATGCTAGCCCGAAACACGAATCGCAGGTGCAGTCGCTCGATGTAACTCGATAAGAATTCGATCTTAGCTACTGCACCCTGTGCCGGAGATTCGTTTCCAAGAAGGAGAGTTGAATTAGTGATTTACCTTGATTCGGGACAGGCGACAGGTGTTAGGTGTCAGGTGTCAGGTGTCAGGTGTTACACGCGGTCGGCATCTGTCTTTGCGCGTTCGAGTGATCGCTTCTAGGATTAAGAATTCATCGATGTATGTTGCACGCGGGTCCTCGGCTGTTCGAATGCTTAGTGTAAACACGAGCGTCGCGACGCGATCGAGAAGGATTTCCAGAGCGGCGACAGTGAACGGAAGCAACCAGTTGCGGGTGTCTGTAAGCAACGGGACGCAGTTCGTCGGGTGAAAAGCGAGAGAAAGGAAGGAAAGAAGGAAGAAAGGGTGGGAGGGAAAAAAGGCAGAAGGAAGGAAGGAAGGAAGGAAGGAAGGAAGGAAGCAAGAAAAGGGACTGGGATTGTTAGATAATCTAAGTTGATCAATAGGGGAAGGATTTATTTGAAGAAGGGTATAAGGTAGCGAGTAGCGGTGAGGGGAAGCGGTGTGTCGTTCTTTAAGCTCGCGATCGGATTTCCTTGATTACCGTTACAGAGAGTATCGACGCGAAGAAGTGGCGTGTCCTTTGGAGAAGGAAAGCAGGAAAACTGGGATCAATCCTTGACGCGTGACACGGGTCGCGTTATCCTTCGTCCTCGAGCAGAACGCGCCTCCTGTTGATTACGAATGCTAATGGCAACGGCGGCCGATCGATCATCGACCTCGTTAGCTGGCAAGATCCTTCGCAGACGATTATGCTTGTCCGCTAGATTCGTTGAATAGAGAAGAAAGCGTGCTTCTTATAATAGTTAATTATCATGTTGTCTAGGAAAAGTGTTTTATTATAAATGTTTTCTACACAGTGAACGAACAGAAGACAGGACTTAATCGTCGGATCGGTAACGATTTCTAGAGTGTCATCGATTTCGCGATTAAGTTCAGTGGTAACTATCGAAAAGTCGTTCGTGGGTGTTGCTGGCGCAAAGATAACGGCCTTGAAACTTTTCTACGCGGATCAGAAGAGCGAGTCGAACACCGTCGAGATGTTCTATGCCCGACAGCATAGTGACTACAGTTAAAAGGTCGTAATCGATCGACTCACTTCGATGGCCTAAAAGAACTTTAAACGTGCAAGGTCGTTATGCATAGCGATAAAACGAAGACGACGTAAAGTGCAGAGGAATCGAGGTACGAGGTTGCTTCGACTAGCTGCAACGAAATAACTTGGAAGGCCTAGAGAAGCCGAGCCCTATCTACCCGAGAGAACTTGAGAACGTCAGTAACGTCTCAACGGAAAGAGAGGCCTACTCGAGACAGGCCAGATGACGCGATAGCGGAACTCGCTGATCCGCACGATGTCGTGTCAAGGATATTCAAACCAGCACCAACCAACTGGCATTCACGAAATGTGCCACACTGACTACGGGATTTCCTTCGAATTTTTACAGGGTTTCTATGAGACTTCACGGACCTGCTCGCATTTAGCGAAGCGACGATAACGGAGGATCTCGTATCAGGTCCAAGTTCCCCTTGAAACTTTATTAGGATCAACGGATCTATAGGTCGCGCGCATTCGTCTGCCCCACGTGGTCCTAAATAGTGTAGGTACGGATTAAAAGGATACCCCTTTCGTTTAAGAAACGATACTAGCATGTGTTCACCGAATGTCGCAGCCTACTAAATGAGATCCCCTAAAGAAAGGGTGAATCAATCCCCGTTGAGAAAGCCACTTCTGTTCGACGCAAGAGGAACCTGGTGGTCGGTCGAGCTCGCGATCGAGCCAACCTCTGACCCCGTGTCACGGCGCACAACAAAAGCGGCCTCGCCAGCACTCGATGAGTCCTAGTGAAGATAAAGATCCTCGTCGAGTACTCTCGATCGTTTGCCTGGAACGGCTGAAGAAGCTCCGGTTGGCAGCTATCTGAGAGCGGTTGGGTGATGCGCGGGAGCAGCTCTGAGCTGCTGCTGGAGGCGAGCTGCGTCCAGTGTCAGAGCGATCACCAGGCCGAACAGCGGAGGCATCAGCACCAGCAGCATCAGCTAAACGAGAAACACGACTTAAAGGAGCGAGAGCTACGTCGTCGCAAACTGTTGGAGCTCGGGTTCGGCGCTTCGCGGCGCCGACCGCCACGGCGTACCTGCCGTCAGCGGTTCAACTTTTACGCCACCTCCGCGTTGGCCTTCGTCGCGACGTCCGGCGGCGCGGCCCTCCTCTTCCTAGTCCCGCTTTACGTCGATCCAGCCATCAGCACGCTGGCCGCCGATTTCTCACCGGATCCTGTCGTTTGCACCACCTCCAGACGAGAGGAAGTCGCCGGACTGTTTAATTGCACTTGGAGTTCCTGTCGCGAGGGTTGCACCAGTGACGTCTACAGATGTACGCATATATACGTCACATACACGCCATGGAGCAACTCTAGTATGAACGACACCGGGGGTAGCGACAACGACACCGGCGTTCAACATACCTCGACCACTTCCGGTAAGGATTCTTCTTCTACCTCTATTTCTCTTTACAACCCTATCAGCTGTTGCTGGATTTTACACTGGTGCAATGTCATGTTTTTCTCGTATCATGCTGGAAGCGAACTGTACAAGTGCACCCATATATGGCTGATGTTTGAATTTCCATAGAGATCTATAATCCGTATTAATAGAAAATTTTCCGCTTACTTAATTAGAAAATACCTATTAGGTGCAAAATAATAAATGAGACGGTATGACAGTCAACGTATTAAGAGCTCCACTAAATTTTTTTATATTACCATTTTCTTCCTGCTTTAACTTGAAGATCTAATGCACCTTGAACACTTCCGGTAGCGTCCACATTTGTCTTCGCTACAATTCTGTGAACTTTCGGTGGATATTATATGTGTATAAAACGTTGAATCTTTAGATGTTTACACAGTTTTATTGTGAATGTGTAAAGAGTTACGTGCGCGTGGAAGAGAACTCTACAGAAATCTAGCACACCTTCGAGACTTCCGCTAAAGCTTCTTCCTGTGTCCCCATCCGTCTTCGCTTCAATTTTGTTGTTCGTTGAAACTTTCAGTGTGTATACAGTGCTGTACTAAATGTATAGAAAATGATATGGAAGTAAAAAAGAAAAGAAATTGGCAATGGAGATATACATTACTTAGGCAAAGTATAAAATATATTTGATTTCATAAATTGTTTGCTTTTCCTTTGATAATGTATAGAAATTATTTTACACTTTGCCTGTAACATATACACTTAATAAAGAATCATACCGAGACTCATTTAAAATGTTGTTTTGTTCAGTGCCGACGCCAGGCGACGTGGAGGCAGTGCTCCTGGTGAACATTAAAGGGTGCGGCTATCCGCCGATCGTCGACTGCGAAAACTTCACCCGCGAATTGGGCTACGAGGGTGCGAAATTTCCCTGCCATTACAGCCGAGTGAACGGCAGCATAGTGATGGCGAACTATAACCGCGAGGCGCAGGTCACCACTATCATACACTTCTTCGCGGCGCCTTTCGTAGTGACTCTCGCGACCAGCGTCGCTCTGTGTGTGATGCATTGTGACTGCAGATGCAGCCCACCTCCACGACATTCGTCGCGAGGCATCAAGAGAGCCAGAGGCAACGATCTCAGGTAACATTCCTATCTATTCAACAAACTGTAGTGTCCTTAGTTTCCTTAGGCTTTGTTTTATCGACCAACTATCACTGATTGACTGTCTTTTCCTGTATTTCGCTCTTTTATTTTTATAAACGAATGTTACCACTCTTTAACCTTTTTCTAAACACTTACCATTATGGTTCTAATTTGAAAAATACTTGTTTGAAATTCGTACATAATTTGTTAAATAAAAAAGCTTGGTATGGAGTATTTTTATACATGTACAGTCAATGCAGTGTTTAATTAGGGCATGCATAGTTGCGAAAGAAATTACAAGGTAAGGAGTTGAACATGCGACACGAATGTGGCACTTCGTTGTTTACGAAAGGTGGAGGGAGGGAGGGGTCTAATCCATTTGCTAGGAAAAAATTAAAATAAAATGGGGGTGAGAGAAGAATAGGTCCCTACCAATAAATGTTGATTGCAATTTAAAGATTAAAATTAGTAATTTTGCAGCTTATGCGCGAACATAATTCTATAAGATCGCGAAAAAAAAAGAACGAACACTAGGGGTTCTGGTTTAAAACTCGAGCCTGCTTCATTACGGGCCACTGCCTCACCGAGGCCACATCCAGTATCTTTTGACTTTTTGACGTGCTCTCTCACTGGTGAATCTCCATCCTAGTTGAAATTATTCAACGAAAATAACTAATACATCAACGCTGCTACGTTCAGCTATTGCACAATGCATAAAGCCTGATGCGATCATCTAAATCCTAACTATTCAAGCATGAATTTATAAAATGTGTTCAATTGTTGAAGATTAAATGACCGATTTATTCCCATAACAAAGTCGTCAAAAATATTAGAAATTTCATTTCCATCGTACGTTCTGTTGGCACAGTTTTTAATTTACGCTAAACCTGACCGACACAAAAGAGCAACGAGACAAGTCGAGAAAAGCAAACTTGCTCGTAAAAGAGCTACGAATTATACGATTCGCTCGTCATGCCAACACATCGTGCAACTGAAAGAGGTCGTGATTCGTAGGCTGAAAGTCGAGCCATTCCCATTTTAAACGTCGTGCAATAGTTTGCCGAGCATCCGTTGGTCTCATCACGGTTGCTGGCTTGTTATTTTTCTACCGTACCTCGTTTATCATCTTTATAGCGGTTGCTGGCACTGTATCGCCATGAGTATTAGGAGAAACACAGGCTGGATATTTGTGAGAAAAGGCTGGCTCGAGCCAGCCAGCGCCAGTAACCTGCTCCGTGATATATCAGACTTGGATTAATCGACCAGACCATCAGACGTGTTCTTTTCTCCTTTCTACCCTGTTGTTTCATGTTCGCGAAATCTTTTTAGCTTATGAACTTATCACTGCTATGAAACGCCCGTGTTTTTTCCTGAAAATTAGTTCTACCACAGGAAAGGATCTTTCTTGCATTTCAATCTTTATTTCTTTCGGTGAAATTCGTTTATATGCATATTAATCTTTTTGCTACAAAGAGGTATAGGATTTCGTTGTTTCTAACTCCACGATAAAGATGTAATAACTCTAGAATACAAAGAGAATGTTATCAAACAGGCGGACGAACGAAAAGTTAGAGCAAGTTTAACTTTATAACTGAATCCATTCTCGTCTGCTTTCTGGTGTTCTCTGTAATTTTGATTAACATTATCCTGCCGATGAACAACTTGTTTTCAATGTATTGTACACTCGAACAATATAGATGAATATTGCGTTCATCGTTTTAAACTCTGAAGAATCGTTGAATAGTGAATAAGAAATATTTTAAAGGTTGAATTTCAACCACCATCCGAAGGAACAGCCTGTGCACAGAGATTCGTAATAACACGATTTCTCGACCAGCAAAGGCTGTTTAAAGTCTGAATTGCCCAATTAGTAATTTCTGCTCGTCAGTGCCTTATCCTACCCCACGTTAAATCATCATGAAAATCTGGCAACTCACAAACTGCTTGCACAACCTATCCATTACCGGATGTTCAAAATTGAAGGGAGAAAAAGAAAATTTACGCTTAACTTAAACTAACGTTACCTCATTGATCTCGAACAAATCTCTGGCTCGCTGAAAGTAATTAAACTACAATCGTGCTTAACAGCGAGCCAGATAACTGGCTGCATGGTGTTCGTACCATCTGCAACTATGTTGAAACTCGGTGTGGGCGGAAGGTTTCGTCGGTGAAACCGCATTTCCCTGTGTTCAGTTGCAGCTGCACGTGCAAATGCGCGACCTCGAGGCCGCGCCGTCAGACTGATTCAGTTTGATCGAAACCGTAATTTCGCGGGCTGGGCACACAAGCCGAGAACTGTATATAGGGAATATCGAGTGGCTGGTATTGTAAGGTGTAATATGGATATCGCTGAGAGGAAATAGATCTAGAGGTGATGCACGCGTTTCTTCGAACAGGTTTCGTACTTTTCTTCGGGATTGAAGTTGGAGGGATTGGAACTCGAACGATTTCACCTTCTTTTTTTTTTTTATGTAATCTTAGAAGATCTTCTATGTGAATAACTTTGGATACAAAAAAATATTTAGTTTCTGAATTTTCACGGGTCATCTTCTATAATAGAAATTACCTTTTCATCGTGTCGGTGAAAATTTGTGCGTTTCCGCGCGAATTATGAATCCAGTTGAGCTAACAAGAAGATGAATATATGGGTTAACGAGTCCCCATTGAAATTTCCGTGACACCGTGTCTTTGTTCTCGCCGCGTGCTGTCGTTCGCCAGCCTGGAAGAAAACATTTCCGTGATATTGCAACGCAACCCCTGCCGAGTTTGTTGTCGATCGGTCTGTAACGAAGTAGGGCTACCGCGTTGGAAACAATGTGAAACTCGAAATGCGGGTCACGGCTTCGTCCTTTTCAAGAGGCGCCGCGTCGTTTCTTCGTCGAGTTCGTTTCTTCTCGCTTTAAAATTATCCAACAGCAGAACCGGATTAAGAATTTTTCGGGCCTCGGGGCTATCGAACCTTCGAATGCCCCTTTTCTTGTTAAATAGGTTCAAAAATTGAAATTTATTCTAAATAAAATAAGATGGCATTTAATCGTGAAAAGAGGGCAACAATGAAAAAAAAATAAAAAAATGTGAAACAGATGAGAATGCTCGAGTTCCCATTGCACTTGAGCGAGTGCATACAAGGTCGCAAGAAGCTAGTGCCTTCATTCGATAAATGAAACTTTAATCCCGTGGAAATAAGGTCAAACTTCAAGTGGCGATGTAAAGTGGATTTATCTTTGCTTTGACGAAACAGTCAAGCGCTTTTAATAATTACAAACTGTGACATATTGGTCGCTTTTAATCATTACTTCGAGCACGTGTTGTGAAATTGTAATAATTGCACGGAAAACACTTCGTAATGCATTAGTTTGTCTGTATGGCTTTTAGCTCTGCGAACTGAAGAAGTTATTAGTTTTGAAATTATTTTAAATGTATAATTCTACATTTGTCAAAGTTGGTTAATCCCTGATTGCAAATCAGGACTACTCACGAGGATGGATGTGGCCCACCAGGATCGAAAGGGTTAATGTTATTCCTGATCCACGTGTTTCGATTTAATTCCCAAATAGCACTCTCATAAATGCCATCTTTGTTATCTGCTGAAAAGAAACTGAAACTCCTATCATTCTTCATTATAGAACCAAACAGCTGCGAAAATGAAGCACACCGTTGAAGCGTTTTGGATCTTGTCCAAGAAACTAAACGAAAACGCCGTCATTACTATAGTACACTAAAGATATCAGACAAACAGGTTCCGGAGCAGCATATCAGCGGAGAAGTGATTAATCTTCTTCTAATATATCGGTTCTCTATAACGGTGCACTAGTTACCATCGCTCCATTAGTTCATTGTTGCCTCTAGGGCCTGAAAAGCTTTAAACGTGGCCCTGGACTCATCATCTCAAAACTCTGTTACAAGAATTTCAGAATTTAAAAGTTTAAAATGGGTTTTAAGGTTTCAAACTTCCGAGACTGTAATTTTGAAATTCTATGAATTTCAAATGAAGATGTTCTACAATTCTAAGATTACAGGGATTTAATTGTAAGATACGGAAGCTTTAAGATTCTCAAGTATTAAGACCTTAAGGATTCCAGATTTCAAGCTTAAGTCCAGTGAATACTTAATAATAACAACTTATGAATGTTTAATTAGTAATTGATTAACCCTTGAACAATGAAATCTGGGTCAATCGAGGGCCAAACCTACCAAAGTTGAATGTATAATTTTCAAGCGAAAGAAGAATAATTTTTAAAGGAACAGTGTAAAATTTAGAAAACGAAAATAATATGAAATACAAAATTTAATTAAAATTGAGGCTCTATCCGTGGTCCGCTGACCGAGGGTTAATGCTTCGATGGAGAGCAGAGAAGCAGAGGTCAAGTTAGAAAAGAAATTAAAGGAAAAGCATCGTTCTGAATTCTTCATAAGAACGATGGCGATTTGCCAGCTTTGCTAATTATTCACTTATCTCTGCGTTTTAGCATAAAACATTACGAACCATCGATCAGCTGTGAGCAAACGAGGTAAATTAGATTTCTCCTTAGAGATTTGACTTATCGTTCGATTTTCTTGGATCATGCCAACAGAAAAACATATTCCTTGGGATTTTATTAAGACGACTCTTGGCGAACACCATCTGTTCCATGCTCGAAGAAAAACAATACCTTCTGAGAGATTGGAAGCGAACGAGGTCGCAGGTCGGATTTAGCAAATACCAAACATACATTCGTCTTTTCCTTTCGCGATTTCCTGAAATATTTTAGACAGAAAGTTGACCCTATAATTGACGCTATACAGACACTTCACAAACCTTAATAGTCATCGTTCAAGAGGAAGTTGCTCGTCAGTCTAGTTTCCTTCAAAGCCTTTTCACGGCAAAGTTCAGCGATACTTTTCTCTTCCGTCAATCGGTCGATGGTGGCCGCTCAGACGACAAGCGCGACGATCGATGAGCCTCGTTTCGCCATCTGTTCTTTCGGACTACTTCAAAAGTCGATTCACTGTTCTAC